TCCGAAACTTTTTCAGGCTGGCGCCCCCTTTGGCTCTCTAGTGAATTTCTAGCGCCCTGCACAGACATGCGCCTCTTTCTATAAAATTTAGTACGCTACAATATTAAAAGATAAAGGTTAAACACAAATGTGCATTTCATAAATAGAACCCCTTTTAGTGAACCAATATGTTTTTCAGCTGTTTTAATTGTTTCAGTACTAGAAACCTAGCACGTCTCGGCCAAATTTACGGCCCGGACTTGTGGCCGGTCTTTCGACCAATCTCCAAAATCAATTATCAAGTAATATCTCCCAAACTAATGAACGCAGCTCAATAAAACTTGTAACATGTATTCATCAGAACTTAACGGTGATGTTTAGCATGCGAAAATTTTTTAAATATCACCTTCATTAGTGCTAAAAAACACCATTTGGTAGTTAGGACTGTAAATTCAAAATTTCGTTCTAATCTGTTCAGTGGTTTGGAAGAAATTCCTTGACCACTGTGAGTTTCGGCCTGTATTTCCATATAACTATGGCAAAAACAATTGAAGGCAAAAATCCAAAAAATTTTCACGAGCTTTACATTACCGTTAGGTCCTAATGAATACGGTACCAAGTTCCATCAAGTTAAGTTCATTAGTTTGAAAGATATTTCTTGATCATTGAATTAGGAAATTGGCCGTGAGACCGGCCGCGAGTCCGGCCGTTAATTTGTCGGAGACGTAAACCCATATGAGAGGTCAAAAAATATAACTAAGTACTCACTGCAGTGAGTGACAGAGAGCGCATTATCTCGTTGACGAAAACGTGAAGTCACGGACGGACAGACAGGCGGACAGACGGACGGACATGGCGAGCACAATAGTGCATTTTTCCATAAATGAGAAAATGCGCTAAAAACAATGTGCTGCACGTGTAGTGTACAAATCGCCAAGCAAACGTTCGAACTTCGACTTCGGACTGCCGCCCCCCTATCGCCCTTTTCTTCTTTACCGCCCCCCAAAATATTTCCACCGCCTCTGGGGGGGCGATATCGCCCACGTTGGGAACCACTGCGCTAGAGGAACTCATTTAGAGTTATTTCCAGAACTACGATGGAGTTCATACTTGCAAGCCTAGATCTGGCTACTTCAATTCGAGTCGAAACATGTACACCCCAACCCAGTAACACTGAGCACACACAACTTTCCCGCGAGGGAAAGCTAAACTCAGAAACTCAGGTAAATGAGCTTACCTCAACACCTCGTTTACAATGTACAAGAAATGGGCAAATAAAATCGTCTATATGCAAAAAATAGATAATATAGTATATTACAATAAAATAGAATCGAAATATATTCCTTTGGTCAAAAAATGATTAGTGAAAGTTGATATAAGATAGAATAACTCTCGAGGATAATTAACTCGCGAGCGCGTGAGTCGATACCAGTTCGTCAATAGCTCGACAAATGAACATTGACTAAGCATTATCAAATACAATGAGAAGTATTATCACCTAATAAAATCATATTATTAAAGAGTTTAACCTTTTGACAACATGACTACATTTTATAATCGACTTTATTCTTATAGAACTTCTACCTCTAGGATGTCTAGCTTCCTTACGCAAGATGGCGGCGTTGCCGTCTTTACTTTAACGATGGTATCGTAGATTGACATCACTTATTCTCGTACAACAGTAAATCATTACGATTATCACAAAAGAATAAAGCCATTTAACCAAATAATTGCGCATTAAAGTGAGTAAATCATAGGTCAAGTATTAATTTTAAATTAACACATCAAAGAAATAAGTCTAAACGTGTCAGGGCTAGCAGACGACGCATATGGCGCCCAGCAGACGGTCAGATATCACAGCAAAGGAGATTCCTTGTTTCAGTCACGAAATAAAAATATGCTTACGCATTCCTTAGTCATACAAACAATATCACAGTAACGAGATTCCATATTTTAGTCATAAAAATTTATACAATCATATTGAGTCACTAATCTAACAAAAGAACACGTGGTCAAACGGAACTCCTAAAAATAAAAAAAAAACATAATATGCATACCGTCACACGTGTTTGAACATACGATATCGAAGAGAATATATGTAATGTGGATCTTTTAAATACGTTATTTCAAAAAGAGTTATTTCAAAGAAGCATTAGAGACTAGCAGCCCAACGTTGCTCGGAACACATTTGAGACCTAATTTTTGAGTCTCGTTCTCTTTCCTATAATTCTGAGTGTAATTATAAGCATATAATACAGTTAATTTCAGCAAGTCCCGTTATCTTTCCTATAATTCTGAGTTTAATTATCAGCATATAATAAAGTTAATTATAGCAAGTCCCGTTCTCTCTCCAATAATTCTGAGTGTAATTATCTGCATAAAATACAGTTAATTATAGCAAGTCCCGTTCTCTTTCCTATAATTCTGAGTGTAATTATCAACATATAATACAGTTAATTATAGCAAGTCCCATTCTCTCTCCTATAATTCTGNGTTCTCTCTCCTATCATTCTGAGTGTAATTATTAGCATATAATATAGTTAATGATAGTAAGTCCTGTTCTCTCTCCTATCATTCTGAGTGTAATTATTAGCATATAATACAGTTAATTATAGCAAGTCCTGTTCTCTTTCCTATCATTCTGAGTGTAATTATCAGCATATAATACAGTTAATTATAGCAAGTCCTGTTCTCTCTCCTATAATTCTGAGTGTAATTATCGGCATATAATACAGTTAATTATAGCAAGTTCCGCTGCACTCCTCATTTATAGCACTGAAAGCTCCGAACTTTACCATAATCTTGAACGCTAACGCTAATATATCATGCGCTAATATTACTATGTACATAAGCATATTCGTACCAGTCAATTAACAGCATCTCTCGTTTGGTATGAATAGCATAGGCAGCGATTGATCCATCACTAGACAAAGTGATTATGATGATTTAATTTCAATTGCAAGGGTCACACAATAAAGGTGATTATGATTATGGAATTCAATTTATTGATTATGAATTTTAGACTAGGAATTTAAAAGCAAAGAAAATACCACAAAAATTCACCATATCTTGATAAGAGAAAACGTTTCGGAGTCCAGCTCCATCGTCAGTTCATAACACAAAATTCTGTTCAGAAAAAGTTCAGTCCTAGAAACACAAATAAACCAATTAGTAAAGTAAAATGCACTGTCAGATTTCAAAACGGAAATAAATAAATAAGACATGAAATTACCGCTAGTAAACGGCCTATCTATTTACTATTTCAAGAGGAAAGGAGCTAAAAGCAGCATTATAAGACTAGGCTTCTGTTTGAATATATATACAGGGATTCTAAAATTCGTAGATCACTAACACCGGATGCGGAAGCTAGAATGTTGAAATCACATCAGATACAGAGGTGTTGCACTGCTCGGCATGAACACGTACAGCAGAATGAGGTGGATGTGCAAGTACGTTCCCCGTTCTATATTTTAGACTGATTCATATTATCATTTGAAGAAAAAACAAAATATTACGAGTTTGATTACCGTAAATTGTTAATGCGATAGGAGTATTGTAAATAGTAAATATATATTACTTAGATAAATTTGCAAATTGAATATATTCTATTGATTATATATAAATCATTCAGTCGTAATTCTGAACATTTCTTTTCGTATTCATCCGCTCTCTGCTCATGTTTGGGTAGTAGAGTGTGTACCAATTTGGACATTGACGCCACATCATTTTCCAGGAAGAATGGAATAGTAAAATGCTTCACCTAGCCTAACCTAACCTAACCTAACCTAACCTAACCTAACCTAACCTAACCTAACCTAACCTACCTTAGTTTTCATTTAAAATATATAGCACGATGACGTCTCTGCACTGCCACTGCATGCATTCAGAAAAACTAATAGGTCATGTTTTTCTGAATAGTGACCTAGCCTAACCTACCTATAGTTTTCATTAAAATATATAGACGATGACGTCTCTGCACTGCCACTGACTATTCAGAGTGGCCCTGCCACTCTGCATGTCTCTTGCCATGCCACTGTACATTCAGAAAAACTAATAGGTCATGTTTTTTCCGCATAGTGACACATTTTCCGTACGTCCCCTTGTGGTCACCCCCCTCCCCTCCTGCATATATCATTATATCACTAACATAATTATATTACAAGATTATTATTATATTTATGCCTCTGCACATTCAGAAAAAAGGTCATGTTTTTTCCAAATAGTGACACACTTTCCGTACGTAAGAGCCATTGCAGGAGTGGCTTGTGAGTATTAGCTTGCGGTTCGAGACCGTAACAAGCTGTGAATGTTCTGCGATGTTGAGAATCGGCGACAGGCCTACGGCCTAATAAACGCTGAAACCGCTATTATTATTATTATTATTATTATTATTATTATTATTATTATTATTATTATTATTATTATTATTATTATTATTATTATTATTATTATTATTATTATTATTATTATTATTATTATTATTATTATTATTATTATTATTATTATTATTATTATTATTATTATTATTATTATTATTATTATTATTATTATTATTATTATTATTATTATTATTATTATTATTATTATTATTATTATTATTATTATTATTATTATTATTATTATTATTATTATTATTATTATTATTATTATTATTATTATTATTATTATTATTATTATTATTATTATTATTATTATTATTATTATTATTATTATTATTATTATTATTATTATTATTATTATTATTATTATTATTATTATTATTATTATTATTATTATTATTATTATTATTATTATTATTATTATTATTATTATTATTATTATTATTATTATTATTATTATTATTATTATTNCCATGAGGTGGCATCTCACCTTCTGCTTGCCACAGCAGCCAAGTGGTGGCATCTCACCTTCTGCTTGCCACAGCAGCCATGTGGTGGCATCTCACCTTCTGCTTGCCACAGCAGCCATGAGGTGGCATCTCACCTTCTGCTTGCCACAGCAGCCATGCGGTGGCATCTCACCTTCTGCTTGCCACAGCAGCCTGACGCCTGCAGCCGAGACAGCAGAAAGTCCACGAGGTGGCAGCGATGGCCAGCGGACGCGTAACTAAGTTCTGATAAAAGCTAAGGAAATGACTTAGTTTCTTTATAATGAAGAATAGATTAAAATAGATTAAATAATGAAGCAATAGATTAATAGAGCAATAACTAAGTTCTGATAAAAGCTAAGGAAATGACTAGTTTGTTTATAATGAAGAATAGATTAAAATAGATTAAATAATGAAGAAATAGATTAATAGAGCAACAACTAAGCTCTGATAAAAGCTAAGGAAATGACTAGTTTGTTTATAATGAAGAATAGAATAAAATAGATTAAAATAGATAAAATAATGAAGAAATAGATTAATAGAGCAATAACTAAGCTCTGATAAAAGCTAAGGAAATGACTATAGTCTGCATTAATCTTTTATTGAACTTAATACAATAAATAATAAAGAAATAGATTAATATAGCAATAAATTTCTCTAAACCTTCAATTGAACTTAATTTGATAAATAAGGAAGAAATAGTGAAGAAATAGATTAATAGAGCAATAACTAAGCTCTGATAAAAGCTAAGGAAATGACTATAGTCTGCATTAATTAAATCTTCTATTGAACTTAATACAATAAATAATGAAGAAATAGATTAATAGAGCAATAAATTTAGCTCTGACAGAAGCTAAGGAAATGACTAGTCTGCATAAAAAATTATATTGAACTTAATACAATAAATAATGAAGAAATAGTGAAGAAATAGATTAATAGAGCAATAACAAAGCTCTGATACAAGCTAAGGAAATGACTAGTCTGCATTAAATCTTCTATTGAACTTAATTTGATAAATAATTAAGAAATAGAGCAATACATTTCAGTCATTTATGAACAAAATTGTAGTAAAAGCCTCAACAAATAATGACTTACAAAACCAAAATCTTTTGAATAAAATGGCTATAGATATTATTGTACAGCAAGTGAAGCACACATAAATAGAATATATATACGTATTATAACTATATTAGTATAGTTCTTTTATCATCTTAAAGCTTTAATAGTCTTTGATAATGAGAAATTTGCAATTTCATAAATAACATCACAGAAGCAAAAATTTAAAATAGATGTTAAGCATAAACTGTACAATAGGTATATTATATTACATTGGACATAAACTTCATATTGTAGATATTAAATACTTCTATAAACATTTTTCAAATTAAGTTAATATAAAAGCCAATAGACAATAATATACAGTTTATGTTCAAAGTATAAGTTGAAACTTAATAGAAATCAACTTATTGAAGAATATACCAAGTAGAAGTTTTAAGTTTTAAACTAAATTAGTTTAAATTAAATATAGTTTGCATTAGTTAAAGGATACTTATAATTTCATCATAGACATATCCCGGACATGGAGTATCATTGTCGGCTGTAGCCTTGTGAAGAAGAGGATACTGAAATAAAAAAATAAATAAATACATAAATTTGACTACTACCTCAAGAAATACCGTACCTACCATAAGTTGCAGGAGTTGATAATGTTAAACTAAAACAACTAAAACTAAAGATTGCTAGAACAACTATTTCTATAGTACCTACTATGAGACCTATATATAGTACTCTAATATTCATGTTCATATAAGATATCTTATTAAGAATCAAATAGTAATAAGAACAAGAAAATATTGTAAATAATTGGCAAATAAGCCATAAACATACCTATGTGTTATGTTCCTGTATGTTAAAAGCTACAATTGAGAGACCAGCAGTTAGATGAAGCCTATAGAATACAAGTATTGACTTGAGATTAATATGTGGATAACTATAAACAAACACATTATATATATATGGTAATAATAATTTAAGTTTAACAATAAAATAAGTTTGACTGTCCTTATTGCAAAATTTTCACTAGAACAATAATTTCCAGCATTTTAAAGAAACTTATAAGAAACAAAAATTTTTCAAATGCCATTTTGTTCATGGTATACATATATTAAGGATATCTATAAATCTATATACAAATACCTATATACTGTAGTGTTTTGATAGAGCTTTCAATATATACTGAAATAAAAGTTTATTGATGGTTCTTTCTACAAAGTATTTCTAATTTTTACAAGCAATACTCACATAAGAAGCAAAGTTTACAGCTGTTTGAGCTCCTTTTAAAATCTCCATGTTGTCCAACTAATTCTTAATCACTTTAGAACTGTAAATATCAAAATAAAGAATATTACACAAAAGATAACACAAAAACAAATATTTTTATTCACTTCAAATTAGATTTCACAATAAGTTAGCAAGTAATGTGCTCAGTGTAGTTTTCCATTAATTTCATTAATAAATAACATTTAGTAGCCAGACTTAATAATTCACTCTAGCATTTAGTGCTTGTAGTTTGGTTGTTGCGGGCTGGATCAATCAATTATTGTTTCGAAAATAATAATATTTTACAGGGCATCTGAAATTAAATCAACTTTAAATAGACCTATTCAATTTAATATTGTTGTGGTAAATCAATGTTAATTCAACATTGTTTCAACATCCTTTGACTGGTGGCATGTACATCCTTTAAAAGCATTCACATTAACTTATCAACTAGTGACATGGTCACATGGAGCCCTCTTTATCTGTGTTTACCTTCAAGTTTTTTACTTTCAAAATATAAAGATTAATGATATCAATTGGAATAGATAATATATAGAATATATAAACTACTACAACTTATATCAAACATGTTCAGTAAGGGCTTGGCAAGAGTAGGTACGGTACTTTGAAACCTGCAACCTACTTTATTTATTTCAGTATGTTTAGTAGGTAGGTTCTAATTTAGATTAATCTGTAGATATAAACATGACAGTGGTTGAAAGTTCAAATGTAGTAATTATCCAGTTAGTTCAGCCAGTTCAGCCATAGTTCTCATTGGGCAGTTTTGGCCCTTGGTTAGCAAATACCAGTCTAAGACAAATTCAAAATTTGCTATGAAATAAAGGCATAGCAAAAAAATTTACAAAATACAGCTCAAAAACCTTATGGCTTATAAAATGGATTCATGGCTAAAAAATGTAGCTCCTACCAGGTACCAGCTATGGTAGTGCCGTTTGACAAGGCCACTAAATTTGGCTACAGAATTTAACTTCAAATCTTGCTGGTCTGCAAAGATATGATCTATTTTGTTAACAAAACTAAAACATAAGCCATAACTCTCTAGTTTCTGGCAGCATAAAAAAATCTCTATACATGGTATTAATTGGTATAACTTATATGGCAAACTGGCAACCAAAGTCCAAACCCCAACATGAAATATGGGCAGAAGTTTCCTAAAGTTGCTGGAGAAAATAACAATTTCATAGATTTTTTAAATAGGCATTTTGCTTGTATTACACTTAAAAAATTCTGAGAGGGCAATAAGAACAGGTGAAAGTTGCCAGATTAGGAGGGCATTTTTGTCCAATAATCAAAATTATAAAGATTAATGATATTAATTGGAATAGATAAAATATAGAATATATAAACTAAAACTTATATCAAACTTGTACTTATATCAAACATGTTCAGTAAGGATTTGGTAAGAGTTGCTGAGTAGATACTTTGAAACTTGCTACTTTACTTATTTCAGAAATTCAGTACCTATGTTTAGTAGGTTCTAATTTAGATTAATATGTAGATATCAACAATCAATATGACAGTGATTATAATTTGAAAAGGTACATAATTATCCAGTTAGTTCAGCCTGTTCAGCTACAGTTCAGGTTGGGTAGCTACCGCAGCTTTGGTTAGCATATATATACCAGTCTTAGACAAATTAAAATTTGCTATAAATAAAGGCATAGCAAATAAATTTACACAATACAGCTCCTGAGTTCAAAAACCTTATGGCTTATAAAATGAATTCATGGCTAAAAAAATTAGCTCCTACTAGCAGAGCTGACATGCTGCAGGAGCTGACATGATGCCAGAGCTGACATGATGCCAGAGCTGACATGCTGCAGGAGCTGACATGCTGCCAGAGCTGACAGAGGGAAAGAGCTGACAGACAGCCAGAGCTGACAGAGCACCTGAGCGGCGCCACTGAGCAGTGAGCAGCAGCAGAGGGGTGGCCGCTGACGCCAGCATGAAGCTGTCGACCTGTCGTGCTGTACGTGGCTGACAGCCGCCCCTCCTGCACGACACGCGGTACACGTCAGGCTGACACGTACAGCTGACACTCCACGGCTGACACTTCACGTCTAATGCACTACACATTTTCTCCTGACACCCACAGCTGACACTTTCAGCTAAACCACCAACACTCCCAAACAACAACAGAATCGAGTAAGATATTATCAATCAAATTATACATTCTTCATTATTAAGCCAGATAAATTCATTCATTCATTCATAAAGCCAGATAAATTCATTCATGGAGCCTAATATTGTCTTCTAACTTGTATGTTCTTAATTGTATGGTATTTATACCTCCAACACAACACACCCACTGGGGTGAACATACTTCCAGCACAACACACCCATTGGGGTGAACATACTCCCAGCACAACACACCTACTGGGGTGAACATATCTCCAGCACAANAATTTTTTGTGAATTTATGAGCTTATTCTTTATTACAAAAACTTATTGACAATCTGAATATATCCTCCTATCGAAATAATCTAACCAAAACAGTGAGCGCCAGATGGCAGGTAAGGCGCCTTCATTTTTACACAAGTTACCCCGACACGGTCTTAAAAAGCTCCGTTCTTTGTCATCAGCAGTGATTGTCGGTGAAAATCTACGGATTGCTTAATGTAAATCTTAAATTTAGATTCAATTCTTACACCTCCGTGTATTCTTACACCTCGCCGTATCCTTGATACGCAGCAGTTGGCGTACACCCGCGTGTCCTTTATTGGTGAGATGCTTCATCACACTCACCACCTGCACGTGGTGGTGATGATAAGACTCACCACCTGCACGTGGTGGTGATAAGAAGACTCACCACCTGCACGTGGTGGTGATAAGAAGACTCACCACCTGCACGTGGTGATAAGAAGACTCACCACCTGCACGTGGTGGTGATAAGAACACTCACCACCTGCACGTGGTGGTGAACGCCTCTTGATTGCAGAAATATTTTATATAGGCAATTGAAAATTATTAGGAACCTATAAATAAATGAAATTAATAATAATTAATAACCCATAATAATAAGAACCTATAATGATATTATAATAAATGGAAACGAAATTAGGAACCTATACTAAACGACAGGCACAATATTAAACAACATTTGGGTAGCTAGATAATTATTTATTACAAAAATTATTACGATTAATATTATTATTATATTACTATGATTAATATATTATTATTGTAATAATATCACTCGTTTGCTTGAATCGCAAATTCACTAAAAACTTAATAGCAAAGAAAACTCCACAAAAATTCATAGTATCTTTAAAGAAAACGTTTCGGAGTCCAGCTCCTGTCTCTTATACACATCTAGATGTGTATAAGAGACAGACTCAGGCCGACTGTTAATGGTAATTA